GGGGGACACGGCTCACCTCGGCTCAGATAAGTGAGTGAAATGGCATCCACAATCCAGAGGGATAATCTTTGTTTCGATATGGCACTTCCCAGCTGCCAACCGCCCAAACAGAGTACTGAGTATGGTCCACATAGATGCGCAGAGCGTGAACTGGACAAAGTAAGGAAAAGGCTGGGTCTGCCTCCTCCGTGGGTAGCGCTTGCAGGTTCACTACCTGATCTCTAAAGGGTGTGGTAGGAACCTTGGGCACATAACCCGGGCGGGGTCTCAGGATAACGTGAGAGTAATCCGGCCCGAATTCCAGGCACGAATCACTGACCGAAAATGCCTCCAGGTCCCCGACCCTCTTGATGGAGGCCAACGCGACCAGCAGAGCTGTCTTCAGGGACAGAAATCTTAGAGATACTGATTCGAGTGGCTCAAAGGGATCTGTGCGCAAACTAGTGAGAACGAGGGCGATATCCCAAGAGGGCATGAGAGGGGGACGGGATGGATTAATTCGCCTAGCACCACTAAGGAACCAGATGATGAGGTTATGCTTTCCCACGGTGCCGCCAGCTACCGCTTCATGATGAGCGGAGATGGCAGCCACGTAAACCTTGAGAGTGGAGGGCGACAGCCTGTTCTCCAGCTTCTCTTGAAGGAAAGAGAGCACAACACTGATCTGGCAGTTTCGGGGGTCTTCGCACCATTCAGTGAATAGACTCCACTTCAGGGCGTAGGCGCCTGTATTAACCACCGCACTAGGTAGGTTACGTAAGTCTTCCTCGCATCTAGGGAGCACACGTGGAGGTTCCAAAGATCGGGGGGAGGGTGCCAGATGGTACCCTGTCTAAGAGAGAGTAGGTCCTCTCTCAAAGGGATCCGCCAGGGGAGGGCCGTCGCAAGGTGGGAGAGCTCTGATATCCAGGTCCGGTTGGGCCAGAGGGGCGCAACTAGCAGAACCTGTTCCTCGTCCTCCCTGACCTTGCACAGTAACTGCACAAGCAGGCTCATTGGGGGAAACGCATACTTGCGCATGCCCCGAGGCCAGCTGTGGGCCAGTGCATCCATGCCGAGAGAGCCCTTGGTCAGGGAAAAGAACAACTGGCAATGAGCATTCTCGGGGGAAGCAAACAAATCGATCTGGGCCTCCCCGAATCGCGCCCATATCAGCTGAACAGACTCAGGGTGGAGTCTGCAAGGCGTATCTGCTGCCGTGAGAGCAAATCGGCTGCACAGTTGAGCGTGCCTGGAACGTGAATGGCGCGCAGCGATTTCAGCTGCGGGTGACTCCAGAGGAGCAGACGGCGGGCAAGCTGAGACATTCGGCGAGAGGGCATACCCCCCCTACCGTTGATATACGCTGCCGCCACCGTACTGTCCATCCTGACCAGCACGTGTTGCTGCTCCAGCACCGGAAAAAAGCGGTGGAGAGCAAGGAACACTGCCAATAGCTCTAGGCGGTTGATATGCCAATGCAACTGGGCACCCTTCCACAGGCCCGCAGCTGCATGCCCGCGACACACAGCCCCCCAGACGTGTTGGAAGCATCTGTTGAAACAACAACATGGCTGAACGCCTGTCCTAGAGGCACACCGGCCTGTAGGAACGAGGGGTCGTTCCCAGGGCTGAGGGCGCGGCGACACAGCGCAGTAACAGAGACTCGGTGTGTGCCCGCGTGTCATGTGGGACTCGATCGTGAAGCCAGTGCTGGAGTGGTCTCATATGGAGTAATCCGAGCGACGTGACGGCGGCTTCGGATGCCATATGCCCCCGGAGCCTCTGAAAGAACTTCAGTGGGACCACTAGTTTGCTGTCGAGCTCTCTCAGACAGTCCAGCAACAGGCGCGCTCTCCGGAGAGGCGCGCTACCATGGTGACCGAGTCCAGCTCCATCCCGAGAAAAGAGATCCTCTGCACAGGGGCAAGTTTGCTCTTTTTTCGGTTGACCTGAAGCCCCAACAGGCGGAGGTGCCGGAGCACCTTGTCTCTGTGCATAATCAATTGCTCCCACGAGTGGGCTAAAATCAGCCAGTCGTCGACATAATTGAGTATGCGGATGCCCGCGAGCCGAAGGTGCGCTAAGGCACCCTCCATGAGTTTGGTGAAGACCCGCGGAGACAGAGATAGCCCAAAGAGGAGGACCTTGTATTGCAACGCTTGACCTTCGAACGCAAACTGCAGAAACTGACGGTGGCGTGGAAGAATGAAGACATGGAAGTACGCGTCCTTTAGGTTTATGGCTGCAAACCAATCCCGAGGACGAACGCATTGGAGAATGCGCCTGCGAGGAGCAGCGAAGGTGGATGGCTCGATGTGCGGAGCGGGCTTACAGTCCCGCCGATAGATGACACTACCCATCGCATCCGACTGCTCTCTCATCGCCTTGAATTCCTGGGTGAACTCACCGACGGTGTCGCCGAACAGACCAGCCTGGGATATGGGCGAGTCAAGAAAGCGAACTTTGTCGACATCATGCATATCGGCCAGGTTTAGCCAGAGGTGGCGTTCCTGGACCACTAGTGTGATAAGTGATGCGAAAGCAGAGGGAGTGAATGCCCAAGGGAGTAATTGCACGTAACACCTAGACCACGCGAGAGAGACATGAGTCAAATGAGTCATTGAATTTGACATGTTTCCACCTTACATGCAACTTTTGTAAAGCACTTTGCTGTGTCCAAATCCTTGCTTGCAAAATATGCTTTAGAACGCTTAGTTTAAACAAATATGATGAACGCAATCATGCATGTTGATCTGAAGAGTGTCGCTCCCGCTCACCGAAAACCAGGCTGAATGTGCTGCGTGTGTTGTGTGCGTCCGTTCCCGAGCGACAATAACAAACGCCTGACATTGCCTGTCCGTATTCCTCAAAGTTGTTTAGAATAAAATGTTTAGAGATCCCTTTGATGCACCCCTTTGATGCTTCTTACGTCCTTGTCGCAGCACCAGTGGCACCGAAATTCATTTGCTGATTTGATCTGGTACATACCGTTTTCAAAGGTACTGATGCTATAATGGCACCGGGTTTCAGTACCTAACCCTAATTCTTGCAGTGCATGTTCTTTTCTGAGAGGTCAAATGGCCCAGTCTGTTATGACTGGTCTACTGCTTAACACTAAAATGAATAAGTGAGGGCATTGCATTTCTAAATTTCAGATCAGAAGGCTTTTTCTGCACTTTTGTCTACAATTAAATAAACATTAACAATAGGCTCGCTTGAGATAGCCAAAATCTGCGCAGAATTGATCACTGGTGATCACTGCAGGATGCATGGCGGTTAGAAATGTGTCTGAGTTGCGTTCGCCTCGCTCTGATGTCATGCTGACGTGCGCCAAAAAACTCCCACAACGTCTAGCTTGGTTTGAGCAGTCGGCAGCAGATGCTCTCTAAAGACTGCACCCACCAAAAGCATGATGGGAAATGACTGGGTGACGACACAGTTGAATGCTTATTGGATAAGGTTGGCAAATGACATCATATTCTATATCTTGTTTTTACCAAGGTTTATACCTGCCCTGCCTTTGTTGAATACCTTTGTTTGTATTTTCGTTGATAATAAAAAAAAAAATTTGATAAAGAGCACATACATATGGTTATTTATTTAGATTTACATACAAACAAAAACAAAACACATCTTTTTAAAAACACAACATGACCTATCTAATCTAAATAAATGTTACTAATAAATCATTAGGATGTGCATATGCTGTATTTTTTTCTCTCTTAGTTTAAAGTTTTGTTTGTTTTCATTTTTGTATGTTTGTGTAAATTTATTATTGAATGTTTATGCAAAGTCAATCCAATACATGCATATATGCATACACACATGCAAAGGTAATCTGACTGCTATGTCATAATGCCTCATCTTTGTGTGGTTTCATATGAGAAGTGTAAGGTGGGTAGTAAACAAAACACATACATATGTATGTGAAGTCAAAAGTCATTTTTATAAACATTTTCAATTTCATTTTCAAAAATGTCCTACAGTCTAATAGTTTTTTTATTCTGGAGAAAATCTTAGGCTGGAGTAAAAGCAGATTATATAGGCCCAATAAGCATGTCAATATAATAAGCCCCTTAAGAATGTCTTTATGTCAAACAAACATTTGTTATGACCTGTCACAAGCTGTATAGGTTATTTATTTTGTCATTCTTTGAACGTTCGATTAAAATACAGATTTATATTTAAAATACACCCTTTTAAGTAATGAGCTGTTCATCTTCTGTGATTGTGACCATCTTTTTGTAAAAACAGTGATATTTTTATTGCATCCACTCCCACATTAAAAAAAATAAGTAAAGTAATTTAGGAATACTGTAATGTTTTAAACTATATTACAAAAATAGCCTATTTAAATTATTTAGTTGCCCTGGTATCACAACAACTATAAACACAACCCAATACTGAAAAAGCATGTTCAAAAATGCTATTATATTTATTTTAAATCACCGTAGTATTTGTTTCATGAAGTCATTCGTCCACAATAAAAAAACGTGAACGTGATGCCACTGGTGACGTTTCCAGGCAAAACAGCGAGATTCCGGAAGTGTCCGACTTCTGATGTATTTTTTGAGCCCCTCTTCTTACTGCAGCTGCCTGCTCTCGTCTACAATGCAATCAAGGCGAGGCACACCTCAAATGAGCCTAATGGTGTTGAGTGTCCTTCAGATGTGCATACAAAGTGAATTTATATTTTAGCATAGGAAAAAGCAATTTCTGAGACAGGCCAAACTCTTCCAGGCTTCACTAACAACTTCTGTGAATGAGAGTCAAAGTCGACATTGTTTGCAGACGGCCAGTGAAGACCAAAGGTTAACATCAAGCTAATTTATTTCAAACCTACATAGGCATGACTGAAATTTTCAATGAGTCATTTCACAGTTGAGAATCAGTTCTTACTTTTGGGAGACAATATCTCCATTTATCAAGTCCTTTGATCTTTGGAACTTTACAATCACAATAAAAAGAATAATTGGGTGCTCTAAATGTTCTTCATGGACTCAATAATGCCAATAAACTTATATTTGGTTGTTTTATTCTTTGCTTTCCATATGAGGGTTCATATGAGCACAAATTGTCACATGTCCCATGTCATCTATGGCATTTTTTTTTTAAATGAAGCTGTTTTCATCAAACATGGTGTGAGGTCACATAATCACATGGGCTGAATAATGAGAGCAATCAAATCTATTGTGTTGCCTTCATGAGTCAATGCCATCTGACATCAGCAGTTGCATCCTGAAGAAAAAAAAAGAAAAAAAAAAACGTTTACAGATTGATCAACACATTGTTGAAGGTGAAGCAATTATTTTTTTATTGAACTTGACTATTTTGTGAGTTGTATGAAGACCTTTGATCTATCAATCTTGTTGCATTGGGTTCAACGAGTTTAGCTTCATAGCTCAGATGATCATTTAAAACCAACAGAGAACTGGATGAAAATCACCTTCTCCAAGTTCAAGGTCATGCTGCTCTAGCATAAAAAGTGTGATTTACTCTCTCCAGTTTGAAGGAGAGCCCTTGCCCTAAGGTGGAAATATTCAAGTATCCTGGGGCCTTGTTCATGAGTGAGAAGCTCATTGTAGAGTCACTGCTTCTCCGCATAGAGAAGAGATCATTAAAACAATGACTCAGGCTTCTGTTTTGGATGCCTCATAGATGCTTAAATGGGGAGGCTTGTCCCAACAGTAGGAGGCCCTGGGGAAGACCCAAGACATTCTAGAAGAATATTGTGTTTTGGCTTGCCTTGGGATCCCCTGGAGGAACTGGAGAATGTGTCTGGAGAGTGGTGTCTGTAGTCTTTTGGTGAGACTGCACATGCAGCTCCACCAGCCCCAGATAACAATCAAAGCACTGTATCCCTTTAACTAACCCACCAAGAAAATATATGCAATGCATTTCATAACTCCTAATGTCGCTAGTTAATAAACTCAATGCATTTTTTTTTCAACATCCCATCATTTCTTAAATATCAATCTCTACCAAATGATTGATATGTCTGTTTATGGTAAAAGTACCAAAATTAATATATACAATAATATGAAGTGCAATTTATTTTTAAAAATATTAAATTTATTTTAAAAATTCTCAAAATAAAAAAATGAATACTAAATAATCTTTATTTTTTAAAGTATGCCAAAAATATTTCAGATTTTTAATTAAGATGTTTTCTTGTTTTAACATGTTTAACCAACAATGCTGTGTGTGTTAAACATTATTTAAAACAGTCATTCTTTATAACAGAAATCCTTAAATATTTGCCTCCTGTGTATTTTTCCCCAATTTCTGTGTAACAGAGAGAAGATGTTTTTAACACATTTCTAAAGACAATAGTTTTAATAACTCATTTCTAATAACTGATTTATTTTATCCTTGCTTTGATGACAGTAAATAATATTTTACTAGATATTTGTCAAGACACTTCTATACATCTTAAAGTGATATTTAAAGGCTTAACTAGATTAATTAGGTTAACTAGGCAGGTTAGGGTAATTAGAAAAGTTATTGTATAATGATGGTTTGTTCTGTAGACTATCGAAAAAAAAATAATTACTTAAAGGGGCTAATAGTTTTAACATTAAAATGAGTTTTTAAAAAATTAAACAATTAAGACAGTATCATACTGTGAAAATGTCCTTGCTCTGTTAAATATAATTTGCAAATATATAAAAAAGAAAAAAAATTTAAAGGGGGCTAATATTTTGACTTCAACTTTTTATTTACAAAAGATCTGTCTGGTTCTTAAATCTGATTGGCTGATAGCCGTGCGATATTCTGAAAATAACAGCACTCAACCAGCCTCTTCACCCTTCAGTATTACTCCACCCACATACAGCTACAAGCAGAGGACACTCTACATTTTGACAAATATTTCTGTTGTGGGACAACATTTGTTACAGCAGACTAGTTCAGTTAAAAAAAAAAAAGAAAGAAAGAAGAAATGCCCACATGTGGTTGTTCTTATCGGAAAAACAACAGTAATCTGGTAATGTTTGTGTTACTCTGGCTTTTTGGGGATAATTATTGTGATCTACAGATTGTAACAGAGTACTGGGAAATGTATCTAGACTGTTGGCATATCATGCTGTTCATCCTTATAATCTTACAATGTCTGCAAAATCACATGTTTTGTCATCACTTTAGACATTACACTAGAGAATCATTCATATGATAGCTCTAAAGTGATGTTGGTGAAGTAGCAATAGTTTCTGCTGTTTTGACGTCAGCTGCAGATGTGAATGAATGGCGGAAGAAAGTAATTCCTCATATGAAAGTATTTTTAGACTGTCGACTTTTATTTTCTTTGTTCTGGAAACAATTATGCTGTTGAACTGTTGTATAAATGCAATATCACAATCATAGCAGTGCAATGTGGCTGTATATTGTCACTGGAGAGACAGCCATATGGTTGTATATCGTATATATCCCGCATTGAATTTCTTTGTCTTTTTAAAATATTTCCCAAATGATGTTTAACAAAGCAAATAAATTTTTACAGTATGTCTGAAATTTTTTTCTTCTGAAGAAAGTGTCATTTGTTTTATTTCACCTAGAATTAAAGCGTTTTTTTTAACACCATTTAAAGAATAAATTATTAGCCCCTTTAGGCTATTTTTTTCCCCAATAGTCTACAGAACATACCATCGTTATACAATAACTTGCCTAATTATCCTAACATGCCTAGTTAACCTAATTAACCTAGTTAAGCCTTTAAATTACACTTTAAGCTGTATAGAAGTGTCTTGAAAATTATGTAGTAAAATATTATTTACTGCCATCATGGCAAAGATAAAATAAAACAGTTATTAGAGATGAGTTATTAAAACTATTATGTTTAGAAATGTGTTGAAAAAAATCAGCTCTCTGTTAAACAAAAAGTAGGAAAAAAAAAAAAAAAAAAAAATATATATATATATATATATATATATATATATATATATATATATATATATATATATTAGTGGTGTCAATCGATTATAAAAAATTAACTAATTAATCGCACCTTTTAAAAAAAATGATCACGATTAATCACATTTAAAATACTGAAACTTGTAGATTTGGCTATTCAAATGTAAAATTAATGTAAACGCAAGACAAAAACTATTTAAATTCAAAATATAATTGTTTTTTTTTTTAATTAAAATTCAAAATATAATTGTTTAATAGAATTTTTTGTTAACTTGTAACAGATTTCTTCATGTAAACAACATACCTACAATAAACCATCAAGATCCTGGCTTGACAGCCATATTTATTTAAAAAACTAAAACACAGGCATGTTAATGGTATTTAAATTTCAAAACAATCAATGCCAATAAAGAAAACATTGATTTCCATGTTGAATTCTAAGTGGACTGCAAAAAAATGCCAAAATACATGAATTGCAGATATGGAAAATGAAAAATTATTATAATAAACTATAGAATACAAACTGTTGCACTCATTGTAAAGTTTTATTGCTGTGAGTTGAGAACATTAATTATAAAGTAGAAACAATTTTGCCTAATCCTCCTTTACATTCATCCAGTTGCTAAGAGTAGGCGTATCCCGCAAGTGCACAGAGACTCCCAAATGCCCACAAATGAATTTTAATATCTCACAAACCGGTCGTTAGATACATTGCACACCCCTCTCCCCCGCATCCCTCCTAGCTCTTCAGGTAGCCTATGTCGCGCGTAACTCACCCCCACCGTCCTTCAGGTACGTCTCGCGCGCACACGCCCCTACTCAGATTCGTTGCTCACCCCTCAACGGGCCTGACGAAGACACACACACAACACGCTGCAGACGTTTTGGCCCCAACGGCCTTCCATACTGAAGCGACTCCCCTCAGATTCAACACGCATGATCATGTTCATCAAATTTGCTTAAACTAAGCGTCCTAAAGTATTACTTTATTTCACAAGGATTCTGACACAACAATGTGAAACACGCTTTCGTTGTGTTTAATGAGGAAACACGCTAAACTTGGAGGGCTCATGCTGAAAGGCAGAGTAATGCCCTGTCTTTGACAGCTCGCGACTTCACCAGAGACTTTCTGTGTATTTACATAAGACACCAATACTCCGATTTTAATATGATTAAGATTATTCTCTTGTTAAAATTCTACTGTGTAGCCTAAGCAGTGATTTTATTACCTTAATGGAACACCGAGTCACGAAATGCAGAGTATTTTCTTTCTGTTCCCCATGCGGTATCTACGGAACCCCGGAAGGGACGTAGTGGAGGAGAAAAAAAATGGGTGGGTGAAAAAAAAATAATGGGTGAAAGAAAAAAAATGGGTGGGAGGAAAATATATATATTTCTAAGTTTTTTGCGTTCTCTCGCAAAGTTTTGCGTTCCCTCGCAAAGATGTTTTGCGTTCTCTCGCAAAGATGTTTTGCGTTCTCTCGCAAAGATGTTTTGCGTTCCCTCGCAAAGATGTTTTGCGTTCTCTCGCAAAGATGTTTTGCGTTATCTCGCAAAGATGTTTTGCGTTCCCTCGCAAAGATGTTTTGCGTTCCCTCGCAAAGATGTTTTGCGTTCTCTCGCAAAACTGTTTCTCCACAAACACTTCCTGTTCACTGCACTCACGTAAACCCTCCCGTTTTTGCCGAAATTCTCCCGTATTTTACCATTCTATCCCACTTTCTTTACATTACTGTGCGTATGCTACCTATGAACCAGTGAATGCATGTATAAGCGCTGACTGACAAACGCGCTTCGTACAATAAACTGATCCCAGATCAGCGTCTGTACACGCCATTTACAGAGGAGCGGGTGAATGTTTAAACAGACAAATACACTGAATAATATGAAACATCTCCGTCCTGCATGTTTTATTTTAAACAGCTTATTTTCTCTTAAATGAGCACAAACAGTTTCTAAAGTAATGGACTGCTTTCATTATAGATCTGTGCATTCTTACAGAGACACTCTGTTATCAAACTAAACAAAACATGAGATTCATTTGCTGCGCACTTGTTTGATAACAGAAGTGTCCTTTTAAATACTGCGGTCAAGCCAGCCGCGGTTCGGAAAAACACAGTCAAGCCAGCCGCGCTTTATATTTAGGTGCGCGCGTATTATTATCATTACGGTAATGTCAGCAGCCACACAGAGAGCGCTCCACAGAGCACCCATTTCGCCCAGAACAGAGAGATGATAACGAAATATAAGTTTATTCCCCTTTCCTCCCACGTATGCTTTATTAAACAATTTATTAGCTTTTTTGACTGTTGTTATTTTAAGAAATTGGTTTCTGGGCTTACCTTTAATTTCCTCAAGTTTATCTTTTTGCTTCAAATGATTTTATAGCAGATCAAACGGACAGAATAAATATACGATTTCTAAATACACAGAATGCGTTTCTACTTCTCCTAGCCAACTACAGTACATTGCAAATAAGGTTAAATGCAATTTTATACAACGTGCCTAACCTCAGAAAGTGAAAATAATCATGAAGTAGTCCAACATAGCATTGTTTAAGTTACTATATGTTGGTTTTATTTAAAGGGGATTTAAAAGGTTATGTTTCTTTCAGTATATGGGATATGGGGCATTATTACACTTTAGATGAATGTAAAGACCTTATTATTTGTTATAAGTAGAATAGAACAACAATAAGATCTGATGCAGGAAGTCAAATACTAAGCATACATCATATGAAGCCTGTTTTACTGCAGCATTTTGGAAAAATGTACCATTAACACACTTTAAAGTGCTATAAAGAAATAAGTAGAAAAAAAAACAAAGTTTGGTTCTGATGGATGTACATGCATACCTCATGTGAAAGACCTCATTTAAGTTAACAGAAGAAAACTATGGACAGGACATCCAATATTATATGCATACCTCATAATAACTTACTGCAGCATTTTGGAGAAATGGGCTATTAATGAGCTATAAAGTCTTTAAAGTGTTATAAATACATTGTTTGGAATAAGTTAAATAAAAGAGTGATCAGGTCTGATACTAGATGTCCCATGCTATATGCATATATACAACATATGAATCCTTTTTACTGCAGCAATTTGGAAAAAAAATGCTCATTTAAAAGATGTAGAAAAAAAACAATAGTCAGGTCTTATACAGGACATCCCATACTAAACCTCATATAAAGACTTGTTACTGCAGCGTTTTGGAGAAATTGGGCATTAACATTACTCAAAGTGTTATGAAGACCCAATTTTCAATAAATAGACAAAAAACAATGATCAGTTCCTGTACAGAACATCACATACAATATGCATACTACATATAAACACTTCTTACTCCAGCAATCTGGAGAAGTGGGACATTAACAAAATATAAAGTGTTATAAAGACCCCATTTCGATTAAGAAGAAAGAAACAATGGTCAGTTCTTATTCAGGACATCCCATACTATATGTGTACTTCACATGAAATCTTTTTTACTGCAGCGTTTTGGAGAAACTGGGTATTAACCTATTATAAAGTGATATAAAAACCCCATTTCTAATAAGTAGAAAAAAACATTAGTCGGTTCTTATACAGGACATCCCATACTATATATGTACTTCACATGAAACCTTTTTACTGCAGCATTTTAGAGAAACGGGGTGTTAACATAGAAAAAAAGTACTATAAAGTCCCCCTTTCAAATAAGTAGAGAAAAACAATGGTCAGATCTTATACACGACACCCTTATCTCTGTGTGTACTTCACATGAAAGCTTTTTGCTGCAGCATTTTAAAGACACGGGGGAATTAACATAGTATAAAGTAATATAAGGACCCCGTTTTAAATAAGTAGAAAAAAACAATAGTCAGTTCTTATACAGGACATACCATACTATATGTGTACTTCACATTAAACCTTCTTACTGCACTGTTTTGGAGAAATTGTATATTAATATGATTTAAAGTGTTATAAAGACCCCATTTTTGATAAGTAGAAAAAGACAATGGTCAGTTCTTACATAGGAAATCCCATACTAAGTACTTGACATGAAACTTTCTTACTGCACTGTTTTGGAGAAATGGGGTATTAACATAATATAAAGTGCTATAAAGACCCCATTTCCAATAAGTAGAAAGAAACAATGGTCAGCTCTTCTTCAGGACATCCCATACTATATGTGTACTTCACATAAAAACTTTTTACTGCACTGTTTTGGAGAAACGGGGTAATAACCTAATATAAAGTACTATAAAGACCGCATTTCAAATAAGTAGAAAAAAACAATAGTCAGTTCTTATACAGGACATACCATACTATATGTGTACTTCACATGAAACCTTTTTACTGCAGCATTTTGGAGAAAGGGGGTATTAACATAATATAAAGTGCTATAAAGACCCCATTTCAAATAAGTAGAAAAAGACAATGGTCAGTTCTTATACAGGACATACCATACTATATATGTACTTCACAGGTAACCTTTTTACTGCAGCGTTTTGGAGAAAGGGGGTATTAACATAAAATAAAGTGCTATAAAGACAGCATTTCAAATAAGTAGAAAAAAACAATGGTCAGTTCTTATACAGGACATACCATACTATATAAGTACTTCACATAAAACCTTTTTACTGCAGACTTTTGGAGAAAGGGAGTATTAACATAATATAAAGTGCTATAAAGACCCCATTTCAAATAAGTAGAAAAAGACAATGGTCAGTTCTTATACATGACATACCATACTATATATGTACTTCACATGAAACCTTTTTACTGCAGCATTTTGGAGAAACGGGGTATTAAGCCAATATAAAGTGCTATAAAGACCCTATTTCAAATAAGTAGAAAAAAACAATGGTCAGTTCTTATACAGGACATACCATACTATATGTGTACTTCACATGAAACCTTTTTACTGCAGCGTTTTTGGGAAACAGGGTAATAACAAATGATAAAGTGCTATAAAGAGCCCATTTCCAATAAGTAGAAAAAAACAATGGTCAGTTCTTACATAGGACATCCCATACTATGTACTTGACATGAAACTTTCTTACTGCACTGTTTTGGAGAAATGGGGTATTAACATAATATAAAGTACTATAAAGACCCCATTTCCAATAAGTAAAAAGAAACAATGGTCAGTTCTTATTCAGGACATCCCATACTTTATGTGTACTTCACATAAAAACTTTTTACTGCACTGTTTTGGAGAATTGGGGTAATAACCTAATATAAAGTGCTATAAAGACCCCATTTCAAATAAGTAGAAAAAGACAATGGTCAGTTCTTATACAGGACATCCCATACTATATCTGTACTTCACATGAAACCTATTTACTGCAGCGTTTTGGAGAAAGGGGGTATTAACATAATATAAATTGCTATAAAGACCGCATTTCAAATAAGTAGAAAAAAACAATGGTCAGTTCTTATACAAGACATACCATACTATACGTGTACTTCACATGAAACCTTTTTATTGCAGCATTTTGGAAAATTGGGGTATTAACATAATATAAAGTGCTTTAAAGACCCCATTTCAAATAAGTAGAAAAAGACAATGGTCAGTTCTTATACATGACATACTATACTATATATGTACTTCACATGAAACCTTTTTACTGCAGCATTTTGGAGAAACGGGGTATTAAGCCAATATAAAGTGCTATAAAGACCCTATTTCAAATAAGTAGAAAAAAACAATGGTCAGTTCTTATACAGGACATACCATACTATTTAAGTACTTCACATGAAACCTTTTTACTGCAGCATTTTGGAGAAAGGGGGTATTAACATAATATAAAGTGCTATAAAGAGCCCATTTCAAATAAGTAGAAAAAAACAATGGTCAGTTCTTATACAGGACATTCCATACTATATGTGCACTTCACATGAAACATTTTTTACTGCAGCGTTTTTGGGAAACAGGGTATTAACATATGATAAAGTGCTATAAAGAGCCAATTTCCAATAAGTAGAAAAAAGCAATGGTCAGTTCTTACATAGGACATTCCATACTATGTACTTGACATGAAAATTTCTTACAGCACTGTTTTGGAGAAATGGGGTATTAACATAATATAAAGCACTATAAAGATCCCATTTCCAATAAGTAGAAAGAAACAATGGTCAGTTCTTATTCAGGACATCCCATACTATATGTGTACTTCACATAAAAACTTTTTACTGCACTCTTTTGGAGAAAAGGGGTAATAACCTAATATAAAGTGCTATAAGGACCGCATTTCAAATAAGTAGAAAAAAACAATAGTCAGTTCTTATACAGAACATAGCATACTGTATGTGTACTTCACATGAAACCTTTTTACTGCAGCATTTTGGAGAAAGGG